GGAACAGGTTCCTGCTTCCCTATGGGCCACTCGCAAAAGAATTTGTTTTGTTTTTCTAGAGAAGTCGTATGGCACTCTGGATTTTTACAGGCTCCACGATCCAAGGAGAACAGTGATTCCGATCGACGCCCAAGAAATCCGTACACATGGTGAATATATTCTTGGAAAGGACCATCACTTCGTTGCCTTGCGCAGCAACAGCGAAGGCCTTTTTGTTAATGTGTCACACCGCCGACACCTTTGGCACGAAGTGGAAATCGCGGACTTGCTGCATGCCTCGCGACGAAATTACTTATGCTAGAGAGATTGCCTTAACGGTATTTTCTAGTCTTGTAGCAACTTCGGCTCAGGTCATGGTCCATCAAGACCAGGAAACGGGCAAGTTTTTGCTCGACCCGATGAACATCGCCGCTGCCTTTCGAGTGGAGCGCCTGTGTACGGTTTCTTGGCTGCAGTGAAACTTATGACTACATCACATTCTCACATGCTCCATTGTACCCGAGGCAAGCGCAACAGGGGATGCAACAAGTGTCCGCGATGTGCTAGGCTCCGGCTGGGAGACGCCTGACTGCATGATGCTTCAATGTCATCGACTCTTTTGCGAGTGCGAGTAGATAAGACCTCTGTCGCGTCAAATTCAAAAAAAGCGTTCCATTGTTGATAGTACGGAAGCAGTCAGGCCATGGATGAGTGATATGCTGCACAGAGACCTTGTTCGCTACGGCGGCGAGATCCCGGACCTTCGTCCAGGCCGCACTCTTCCACCTGTTCTTTCCGAGCAGCAGAAGGACACCACGAGAGCGGTCGCTGCACCTTCGAAAATGTTAGACATTAGTGTTTGAACTGAAGGAAAGAGCTCTGCTTGCCGCAGAACGAGTGCGTTGCAAAGAAGTCGCGGAGCAGGCCATTGGGTTATGTAGTTTTCCATGCTCAGGCTACAATTCGTGTTGGGATCTTGCTGCGGACTGTTTGCGTGCGTTTTCTTTACATCTAGCTTGTTACATTGCTATTGACTGAGCACCCTTTTGTTCGAGACAGGGAGAAACGTCCAAATCAGCGCCCAGCGATCCTCCACCGAGAGATGATTCTGTAACTCGGCTCTGGACGGTGGCTTGCTTCTCCGAAAGTTCTGATATTTGGGTAACTCAGTTTATAAGTAGCAGTGACGTGGTGCTTGCAACAGTTCGATTGAATCCCGACCAAGGCCTGCCAGGCGAAGACAAAGTGTCCTACCGTGTTCGAGCCCCTTTTCTTTTTCGGTTCTGGCATTGAATATGCTATGGGGAAGGACCAACACGTGGTCATGCGACTTCAATCAAGTCACATCCCAGCGCTCCCCTTCCTTTCCACGGCCTCGGAGCCAGAGGGCTGGTGGACACCGATTGTGATGCATCCGCACCATCCAGCCATCACCAAGCTGGGGTTTTCGCAAGGCACGGATGCGGTGCTACTTTTCAGGTCCGGCACGAGGGAAGCCTGGTGGGGACAAAACATCCGGGAAGCCTGGCAAGCTTATCATGTCTCCGAAGCTTTATTCGACCGCCATGTCCACGGTGTGCGCCGAAGCTGCATATAAAGTATAATTTAGTCAGACATCGATGATCTCAGATGGTTCTCGGGTACAGAACGCGCTGAAAGGTGCGACCATGCGGAGAAGCCTTCCGTGAAGCGATGGAGAAGGCATGGATCTGAAAGCAAACACTGTGTTGGCGATGTAGTCTTTCATTAGAGCTCCGGGACTGAGGTATCGCTCCAACACAGACCGTGCTGTGGATGGTACTCCTGCAAGACGCTGGGCGAGGCTTTGCTTAGCATGTGCGATGCTGTGTTATAAACATGCCTGCTTACCAAACATTGTCGACTCTTCACTTTTATGATTTTTCATCAGGCGCTTCGGTGAGACAACGCGGCACCTTGCATGCAATTGTCCATAGAGTGTTGCTTTGTAGTCTAGTATCATGTGCTCGGGTTTGGTTAAGACACACTTGACTGTACCGTGTGTGTGTGTGTGCCACTGTAACTATTGCGTGTTTGCGGTGCTGATCAGGCCGCCAAGCGATGCCGTTGGCGGCTCTCTGCCGCCTGAAATCATGACCATGCTGCCAGGGTACTTCTTCTCCAACACGTACCTGCAGACCCTGGCCTGTGTTTCCAAAACTATGCTGCTTGCATCCCGCGACCCTCAGCACTGGCGCGGAAGATGTCTTTCGTTGGCGGAAACTGAGTTTGCTGATCCTAGAGTTCTTCGCAACTTTGCACACGCCTATGATGTTGCAAGCGTAGTCCGGGTCGATGAATCTAGGTCTTTTTCCAGCAAGCTTTTCGTTTCATTTGCTGATATCCGCGTTGCGCGTCCGTGTCTTAGAAACGGACATCGTGCGGGTGTCAAGTGTCAATTAATGCATATTTCTTGTGGGCATATACATATAATGTTTTTTTGCCTTCGCTTAGCCAAGGTCAGACAGCTAGCAATGTTCCTGATGTTTCCACCACGCTTGGCCTTGGACTGGGTTGCGCAGTCCTTGCACGACCCTGGGTATCCAAGGTGGTATGGCTTCCACTCAGAGACACCGCTGATGGGCGACGCCGTTTTCGAGCTGTGGTTACCGTGTCGAGCATCAGGCCTGTATGTAGGCGTTCGAGACTGGCACAATGGACATCGCACATGGCTCCGAGTTGACAACTTGTACCGTGAGGAGTCTACGATTTCTGTGGGAATGAATAACCAAACTTCGCAGCCTCGCCACAGCCACAACAACATGCTTCTCCTACAGCCGCAGCGCACCCATCGCTTCTGTGTCCGCTGGAACCAAAGGGCCTTTGAGGTGGGCGTGGATGGCAAGTTGATCATTGCTGCCAACTTGCGAAATGGTGCCCAAGATATAGCGTCGCCTCTTGCGCAAGTTTTTGTTTGGGTTCATGTGCGGCCCGGTGGCTCTGAGGAAAGGACACGCGTCCGGCCTCTTCCATCGCCTATTCAAAGGAATGCACGTGTGACTTGTGCGCTTTGCCAACGCGAAGAGAGTGTTCTGCTGCCTTGCTGGGCAGCTTGTCCACTTTGTTCGACGTGGATCTGCAAGGAGCACACTGGGCATGAACCGCAGCGTCGCTGCCGCAAATGCATGATGCAGCTGCAGGATTACGTTGGTGGCGGTCCTGGCAGTGACAGCGCTTGTCTGGCCTCCACTATTTCTGAGTACGTAATATTTATGCGCATTCAGCACCTGCGAGATTTGATCTTAAGGAACATCCAGGAGATGGTCACAGATCGGGCGCTGTGGTTCTCTGTGCCCGATCCTTTTGATTTAAGCATTGACGCTCGCACATGGATGCACTATGTGGATGCCGTCGAGTTTCAGGCTAGACAAGTGACGTCGCAAGTCGATATCTCCATCATGCAGCCGAAGCCGCGACAACACGCACTGCACACCTTATCTGATGCCGACCGAGCAGTGAAACGGCTTGGTGCTTGGGCACGTTTGCTTATGTTGCTCATTCCGTATCGAGAAGTTGTATGTTTGCAGCAGATCTGGTCACCTACGGATTCGTTTATTTCAAAGAGAGCGTGGGAGTGGCATCTGTACGAAATCAGACAATCCGTTCTCCTGCTGGAGACGGAGACGCCGCAAACAGTTTCAGAGTTCTCCGGCACCTCACCAAGACGTTTTGATTTTCTGGCCGGGACATGCATGCCTACCCACGAGCAATGGCTGTTCCTTAGCGAACGCCGAGCTGCTGCCTTGCTGCGACGACAGTTACACATCGGCATGGAGTCCCCCCATGATTTTTTTTGCTTGTGGGATCGAAGCCTGAGCCCATACTGCTGCCCAAGCTATACGGCTGGGGCGACGTCCATGATCCGCTTGCCTCCTTTTGCGTGGGCAGACGTGAAGCCTCCTGTTCTTCCAAGTGCCGCAGACGAGGTCTTGAGTCGCCTCGAGTGCGTAGATGTGGAGTGTACTCTTCTTGCCCAACTGCATGGTCACCCGAGAGACAGACACGTGTCTTTCGTTCAGGAAACACACAGCTATTATGTGAGAGGAAACAAAATGCCTTTGTCCGTCACTGGCTTGGTACATTCCTTTGCTGACGAGTTTCGACCAGACGAAGCTATTCAGAAGATGGTTAATAGTGGTCGATGGCCTCGGCCTGAATACTCTCACCAGGTGGCCGACACCATTGTGCCGTTCTCCGCAGACGAGATCAAGGTGGCATGGTCGCGTAACGCGAAGGAGGCAGCGGCTAGGGGAACGTGGATGCATTTGCAGATTGAAGTTTTGCTCAATGCCGGATACGTTCAAGAAGAATGCTGCGTCGAGCTTCAGTTATTCAAGCAATTTCTTCGGGAATATCCGCTGCCGCTGCTCGCGTTTCGAACGGAATGGTGCATTTATGGTGAGAATGAGCGGCTGGCAGGCTGCATCGACTTCGTGGCCAGGTGCTCTAAAGACGAAGTCATTCTATTTGATTGGAAGAGAACCAAAGGCCTGTGCAACAAATACACCAATCGATGGGCAAACATGGCAGCGCCTGTAAGTCATCTGGAGGACTGTGCAGGCAATCACTACCGACTACAGCTGAATCTCTACAAGTACATCATCGAGAAGTACTACAACCTCAAAGTGCGTGCCATGCATGTTGTTTGCTGCCACCCAGATCAAGAAGCAGAAGGCCCCTTTGTGGATAACGTCCCGGTCATGGACAAAGAAATTCACGAAATCTTGAAGGTGCACGTATCTCGTGTTGATTTTGTAGGAGGCAAGCAAGCTTTGCGCAGTGCTGCGGATATCATTGATGCCTGGCATCGTCTGCAGCACGGCATCCAAGTGGAGGAGGCTGTTGAAGTTGCTTTGGTTGAACCAGTTCCTGTAAGAACTGCGGTCATGGTCAATGACACCTACGATTCAGACGAAGAGTCGGGTTTTTGGGGGCCGGCATTCACAGCCGACGACGATGCACTTTCTATCAGCAGTGAGTCTGCAGGAGAATGGGTTTGCGATGCCACTGGGTGCTTCAGATGGGTCAGAGGTTCGCCGCAGCTGTTGGACCATGGCGAAGATCAAGAAAGCGTGTTTTTCGTGAGCTCGATCCCGGAAAATGCAGCCACGGTGAATTGCGCCTACGATTCAGACGATGAGGTGGGGTTTTTGGAGCCGGCATTCACAGCCGACAACGATGCACTTTTTGCCAGTAGTGAATCTGCAGGAGAATGGGTTTGTGACGCCAGTGGATGCTTTAGATGGGTCAGAAGTCCGCCTCAGCTGTCCTACCAGGATGTGGACGAGCTCGGAGGGTCCTTGCCCTCTGAGGCCCTGGAGCTTCTTCCAGGCTATTTTTTCTCCTACAATTTCCTAAAACACCTATCCTGGACATGCAGAGGCATGCTTCGCTCGGCGCGCAGTCGCGAGCATTGGCGAGGCCGCAGCTTGTCGCTGCGCGGCCTCGAATTTCTGGAAGCATCGGTGTTGCGGGACCTCCATTTCGCATTAGAAGAGGCCAGAGTTGTGACTGTGAATGTGCCTTGGCTTGTCTGGCAAGAAGTTATATATAAGATGTTTTTGTTGTAAGTTTCCTTGGAGAGTCTGGCATATCATTGGCCTTTCCCAGGATCTGCAATTGGCTATGTTCCATTCGTTCCCGCCGCGAATTGCGCTGGAGTGGGATGTAGAGGTCACTTGCTCTCAGCAGCCCGACCGGGTTGTGACCGGATTCAAGTCTCGTGGTCCGCTGATGGGAGCGGCGATTTTCGATCTCCGACTTCCCGCTTGTGCCATCGGCCTCTACATCGGCGTGCGTCAATGGCAGCACAGCGAACAGCGGGCATACTATTGCGTTGTCAACCCTTGGCGTTCGAATCCAGCGGTGTTCATCGGCCTCAATGACGAATCCCCGCAAGTGCATCCGCGCAGAAACACGTGCTTGCTGCAACCAGAACGAGTTCATCGATTTGGGGTCAGCTGGAGCCGGCGGCATTTCGAGTTTTCGATCGATGGCGTTGGCGTTTCTCGAGCCAGACTACATGAAGAATTTCCAGATGGACCGTCTTCATTGGCGCAGCTGTCCGTCTTGATGCACGTGCAGCCAGGCAGCCTTTGGGACGCTATGTATCTTCGTCCGATTGCATCGCCGATCGACTGGAACGCACAGATCAATTGTGCCATTTGCGCAAGAGACTGGGCCCTGCATCCTGGCAACTGGTGCGTTTGTCCGTTGTGTTCCACGTGGATTTGCAATGTTCACAAGCTGCGATCTCCCGCCCGTCGCTGTCCTGTGTGTCCAAACCAGCTCATGGACTATTTGGGCGGTGCATCTCAGGAGCCAGATGCAGACGCTTCACAAGCATCCTTCGAAGATGTCCAAAAGGAACTAGCTGTGACCATACCAACCTTCTTCCTTCCTGAGGATGCTGTCGTTTCAGCCAAAAGAAGACGCTTGATGCCTGGAGCGTCCACCTCTGGTCAAGAGTTCGATGATCTATTTGGTCTGGCGTCGAAGGCGTGCTCGTCCTCCTTGAGTTCATGTCCTATTGTAGACGAGCACCAACCAGTGGCATCCGTCCAACAAGACCTCTACAAGAAGTTCATGTCCGCTGTTGACCTGGCAGGTCGGAAGCCCTACGCCTTCGTGCCCAAAATGTTGAGGGTCACAGGTTTCAAACGTTTTGAGACCAATAAAATCATGACATTTCGGAATGTCATGGAAGCAAACTTTAATTCCATTTACCGGCGCTGTCTGGTATGGAATCCCAAGCCGATCTTCGTCGAAGACACAGCCTTCGGCGCAGCTTACCCAGATCCGGAAGCCGATGGTAGTTTCAGAAAAGATTCTTCTCAGCGCAGTTTTCTGGGAAGTGGCCCTGCCATTGCCGCCGCGTTGGAACAACAGCATGGTTTTGAGTTTCATCCAGCTGTGTTCATCGGCCTCAATGACGAATCCCCGCAAGTGCATCCGCAGCAGCCGACCCGCGTCTGTTCGCGCTGCCCAAGCCCGCTGCTGGAATACGTTGGAGGCAGCAGGAGAGCTGACGACGGTGACTCGCAGTCGTCCTTCAATGCTCGCCTGGATGCAGAACTAGCGGAGATGGACGTGGCAGAGTCACCCGAGGACAGGGCAGAGCAGAAGCGTGAAACGTTGGCGCTGGCACTGACTGAGAATGCTTCGGAAGATCAGAGTGATCTCGCCTTGGCGAGTGTTGCGGAAGCTGCAACCGGCCTGCCTGCGGAGGCTATCGGTTTTGCCAAAAGAAGGCGCCTCATGCCTGGAGCCTCCACCTCTAGCCAAGAATTTCAGGATTTATTCGATCTCACAGTCGCGGCGTGTTCGTCGTCCTTGACTGCATGTCCTACTGTAGACGAGCACCAACCAGTGGCGTCCGTCAGAGAGCAGGCCAAGAAACAAATTGCATATGTTCGTCTCAGGCAGTCGACATGGCCGGAGGACATGGTGCGTTTGACGGCTGCTGCTATCAACGTGTATAGAACTCGCCTCACTGACATTTTCGTTCGAGATTTTGTTGGTCTCGTTTGGATTATTGAAGGCGACAGGTACATTCGTGCCCATCGTGGTGTATGTTTCTTATACCACAGCGACGGCTCTTTCGATCCCTACAGCGGCGTTCCGCCGGAATCCACTTTTTACAGGCTGAAGAAAACTCTCCTGAGATTAGAGGGCTTATTTCGACTCATGTCGCCAGCCACAGAGCGGTCGGACTCTGCAATCGTCCGGGAGGTCGCCAGAGTGGTGTCAGTCTACAACAGCGTCGCCGAGTTTATGGCACTTTGCGAAGACACAGCCGTGATGGCAGATACCTTCGGGACGCGCCGCAAGTCACGCCCCGAAGAAGAAGGAAATCCTTCCCCTCACGCAGGTTGGCCCGAAAAAACAGCTTTCATGCTTTCGAAAGTTTTGGCGCCGCTGCAGAAAGATTTGCTGGAAGAGCGACTCTAGATGTCAGGAGTTGAAGCACGTTGTATCAAGTTTTTGTATTTCGTAGTGTTGCTAGCTCAGTGAGACGTCACCTCTGTTTTAACATCTGCGAGCCAGCTGAGGACGACTACTTCACTTCGTCATCCAATGGTGCGATTCGCCTTCGAACAGAGCAAGTGGATGTGCCTACCAGGACATTTCGGTGCTTTATGATGTCACACCAGAAGAACACGTGCAGCTTGTGAAGCCGTCACCGAAGAACAACATCTACGTTAGAATTCCCCATGCTCTACAAGCGTCATTGCCAGATCCTGTATTGAAGAATGCCAGGTCTAGACTTCAGAAATTTTTGAAGGAGACCTTCTGGAGCAATCAAGAGTATTACAAGGCGACTCTCGCTGCAATCGCCCTTGCAAAACGTGGAGAAAATATCGATCGCTGCTTCATTGGTGAATCCTCAGGCGGCACTGGTCAATCGCTGTTCAGCAGCCATTTGGCGGCGGTGTACGGGCATAACCACGCGTTTATTGATCCGAATCTCTTTCATAATGAGGAGGAAATGAGAAAGCAACTTGAGCAATTTGCTCATTGTTGGATAATTACAGCGCAGGAGGCTCCGGAAACCCATCGGCATTTTCAACAAGATCTCTACAAGAAGTTTATGTCCGCTGATGACTTGGCAGGTAGGAAACCGTACGGCTTTGTGACGAAGATGATGCGCGTCACCGGCTTCAAACGGTTTGAAACCAACAAGATCATGACTTTCCGCAACGTCATGGAAACCAATTTCAATTCCATTTACCGGCGCTGTCTCGTGTGGAACCCCAAGCCGATCTTCGTCGAAAACACCGACTTCGGTGCAGCGTACCCGGACCCGGAAGCCGATGGTATTTTTGTCAAAGATCCTTCTCTGCGTAATTTTCTGGAGAGTGGCCCTGCCATTGCAGCCGCATTGGAACAACAACATGGTTTCGAGTCGCATTACTCCCGGCAGGCATGTTTTCAGATGATTGAAGACTATGCCTTGAGCGGTCTCACCGAAAGAAAGATGAGAGCCGCTTGTGGGCTGCGTGCTCCGGAGGACCGATATCTCAATACACAGCATGCACTGGATCCGCTAGATAACTACTTTCTTTGTTCGTTCGTTGTTCCTATCTCTATCTCTCTCTCTCTCTCTCTCTCTCTCTTTCTCCATTTCTCTCTGTATCTGTTTCCTTTCTATGTTTTCTTTTTTATGTTTTCTTCATACAGATTGTTCTTTAAGTTTTGCGATGTGCGGATTTGCACAATGCCCATGATTCCTGGCACTATGTTGTCGTGATTTGCTTGTGCAGGAGCCTACAGTGGAGAAGCAGCAGAACAATCTTGTGGCGATTCTGAAGCAGAACGATGAGGACGAGAAGACCAATATCCCGCAGACACGGCTTGATAAGGCAAATGCTGCAGCCGTGAAACATTTCCTCGAAATCAAAAAGCCAACGGTGAGCAAGCTTTGGTGGCAACGCTTTTCCAAAGCTAAGCTCAGTGCTGACAAAGAAGCATTCGACGACCTGGTCAAGGAAAGCATTTTTCTTCCAGTGGATGCAAAACAGGATGCAGAGAACTACATTCCCACCATACCTTGTCAGCAGAAGGCGCTGGAAGATTTATTCGTTGTCGGCTACGATTCCAACACAACAGTGCTGCGTGAACGTTTGAATGCCAGAAAGCTTTGGGATGCAGTACATAGTAATCCTGCCCGAACGGCCAATGCGGAGCTTCTACAGCATTTTTTTTCGCAAGTGCTGGCAAGGTTGGACTCTGGTCGGGGTCGTCGATCTACACAACTCATGGAATCTTTGTTGCGCTGGCGGAGCCTGTCGAAGAAGCTACGCAAGCATGAAGAATGTGCTCACGGATTATTGGAAGCGCTGGAAACGAAACTTTCCCATGCAAGTCAGCAACCTCCTGATGAGCGGGCTTCGGCAATATCGCCACAAGAGAAGCCTGTTCGTCGAGCTGTTAGGAAGAAGTCTTCGGCTGCACACGTTGAACAATCATTAGCAGGCCAAGCGGCAGCTTCCTCTGCAAGTGGTGCTCGAAGTGGAAATCCTTTCGCTGGAACCGAGGAAGACCGCTTCGTCAGCTACGATGTCACGTACAAATACAAATTGGCAGACGTGCGTACGCGCAGATACGCCAGTTTCCATTCTGCGCAGAATTTGGGCAAAGCCTGGCAAACAATTGCTTTGGATCAAACGGTAGACCTGGACATCGAGAACTGCTCCTTCACGTTGCTGTTACAGATTTTAGACAAATTGAAACCCAACCACGAGTGCTGGTCAGCAGTCAGGGAGACATTGTCCCTTTGTTCGTCAGAAAGAAACAAAGTCATTGAAGAAAAGCTGAAGCTGCCGTTGTCAGAAGGAAAGCATCTTTTACAGAAAGTATTCAACGGAGGCACACCTCCGGAAGAACTTGCCAAGAATTTGTTCATCGAGGACCTACAGCGAGCAAGTCTTTTCTGCCGCTGGGTCGCTGCAACGATGCTGAAGAACACTGCTTGGCGTGACTTGCTGCAAATGAAAGACAGACCAGACATGTCGGTGTTGACATACTTTTGGAACATCGCGGAAGATCTGGCTGTTGAGTCCTGGATCCGGAAGGTGGAACCGCTGCAGAGCAAGCACATGTCATTGCATTTCGATGGCATCAGGGTGGATCGCGACATCGCGCAGCCAGATGTAGAAACTTTCTGCAGGAGTTGCAGCGACACGATTTTCAAGGACACTGGCCTGGCTGTTCGTATTCGTATGAAACAGCACTATACCTGCCATGCCCTGTTGCAGCAGCTGGAGAACAGAAAACCAGTCGAGTGTCCTGAATGTCTTCGCGCAGCGGGAAACTGTATATTGGCGGCCCTACATCATCTTGGTTTTCCAGAACAGGCGTCTACTATGGCATTGATGACAGAGGGTCCAGAACACATGTTTTTTCAGCGACGCCGCCAGAGAACATATGCGCAGGTTGCCGAGAAAGCGAACATTAAAGTGTTTCCTCGACTACCAACTACTGCTCTAGAATCAGGCCAGAAGATTTTGCTTCATATGGCCACCGAAGGGAACCCGCACTGTGTTGCTTTGGAAGTTTGTTCAGGCAACGAAGTACGTGTGACTGACCTGACTGTCAGCTACACTTTTTCCGTTGTGGATTTGGCACGCATGCTATCGGAAGCAACGGATCGCAAATACATGATCTTCTTTCACCTGAACCAGAAACCTGAGGATCTTGACAGAGATGCACAGGACAGCGAGTATGACCTTCTGATGGAAACTCTAGCAGGCGGAGACTCCGACGATGAGTTCGTTCAGGACCTAGCTTTGCCTATTGTGGAGGAGAAGGAGCAAGATGAAGACATGTTGGAGGATGACGAGAGCGTAACGAGAGTGGGTGACAGACTTCTAGGATTTCTTCGTGACGAAGTTGCTGCTTTTCTGAACAAGAAACCTGCGCAAGTTGCTGATGAGGTTCGAAAGAATGGGAAGGCATGGTGTCCCTTTTGTCCGCTTCGGTGCTGGGACAAGACTCGACACGGTCGTGTTACGGCACATGTGCGAGAATACCATTCGGCAAGGAAGCAATTCGTGGCCAGTGGCACGAAGCAACTGAAGGTTATCATCGCACTCCACGACGATGATCAGTGTCGGCGGCAGCCTGCCGGAAATTACTTGCGCCGCAGTGCTACTCTGCTGTCCCAATCCCTGGATGATACAATTTCGACGCAGCACGTGCTCCTGGACAAGAAGATAAGACTTGTTTTGACGCAGGATGGACCGCAATACTGGTCTCTGCAGGCTGTGCAGCGAGGAGAATTGCGTCGCGTGCGCAATCTGTACTATACGCGGCCATTCGCTCAACTTTGTTTTCGAGAAGTATTGATGTGCAGTGCCAAGGCAAGAAACACACACGCGCGCACACACACACACACGAACAAGTCCTGGTAGCCGTTTGCGGTGTAAACCCATGATCGTTTAGACCGTAGGACGTTGCCTGTTCGTAAGTGGCTGCATGCGATGCAAACCAGTGAGTAAGAAAGACATCACCTCTGCAGGTCTATGCTCTTCATGCTCGACTGTTGGCAATCTTTCCGGGTGCGACAAGCAGCCTTTTGCCGCGCCACGCAAATCACTGGTGGCCAATGATCGAAGACATCTTCCTGTCGGACCGCGTCCGCAGCTTCGAACGGAAGCTCGAAACCGAGCTGGTGCAGCATCAAGAATTCGAAGTCATCAGCATGGATGCGACACTACGTTGCTGCTTGCCCGTTATGGGACAGGCACATCCGCGAGCAAGCAGAGAAGTGAAATCACAAGCAGTGTTTCATGGAGACAGCGCGCTGACTCGAGCCTCTTGGCTGCATGAAACATAATATAAGTTGGCTGCTGTTCTGTTGCACCAGTGAGCAATGAGGTAGTTACATGCAGAGGGCGCACCAATGCAGTGCTCATGTTGGCTGCGACCACGACGGATGAAACAGATATCTTGGTGAAGGCTATGGCCGAGAAATTACCAACAGCTGGGCTTCAACAAGTGCGATGCATGAGTGTGGACAATCCTTCCGCCAAATTGTGGAAAGGCTTGCGTTGCATTTGCCCAAACCTGCAGATTCTGTGCCTCGACCCTGTACATCTCGCGATGACATGCGAGTATGCATCTAGTCGGAAGCGTACGGCAATGTCAAGGACCTTGCGTGCAATATTGCAGAAGTTATCTGTGCACAGCTCACACTGCACCGAAAACACGTGGGGCACTTTTTTCCGAGGCGAGAACTGCAAGCCTCTAACACATGCGGAGGAAAGGGCTCGTTTACAAATTGAGGATCGCAGCATGCCGCTAAGGAAAGCTGCAGCTATCCTCGACAATTTGAATGCGTCCGTTCCCTTTTTCGAACGGTCTGAGTGGTCCCTGTCGCTGGCTGCTTTGGCAGCTGTGTATCGGCAAGACATGGACCGTGTGGTGCCGGGCCCGAACCGGAAGGTATACCAACTTCTTCATTCGGCTGCCGCAGCAGCACGAACGGAGTGGTATTTTAACAACCTTCGTGCTCGACACATGATTGCTACCAGCAGATTGAGTCTGCTCCCTGTCGGCACAACATCGAATGAATCACTACATCACGAAATCAACAATTTTTTCAGAGAAACACAAAAAATCCACAAGACGACCTTGTCGCTGAAGCTCAAGATTCTACAGCTTTCCAAACAAATGACACACAATGCTGCGCTGTACCACGAAACTACTCGGCAGATGGCCGAAGCAGAAGTTCTAGCTCGCACATCGTCCAGAGAGATGTGGAGCTCAGAGCAGTGGCAAGCATGGTGCGACGAGCTCCAGGATGACGCTCGGATCAAGAAGGCGTCTTTGAAATTGCATCCCCAGAGAGAGGACGAGCGTGCCACGGTTCGAGCAGGGGTTCTGAAGAGACCGGCAGTTAATGTAGCTGATGCTTCACCAAAGAGACGGCGAACGCCGCACACTTTGGAACGGCAGGATGGCCTTCGTCGTGCAGGTGTTCGCGGCCGAACACCGGCTACGTAAGTTGCTCCGCGAATGAACTTACGGGATTGAGTGCAATCTATGATCAGATTCTAGTCGGATTTTCGTTGTTGCCTATTGTAGGTGTGCTCAAGACATAAGACGATGTAAACGATGCCGGTAATCATGATCATCCGGATGCAAAGCATCCACTTGACGAGTCTGTGATTTGTGTCTTTGGAGAAAACAAATGCGCGTGATGTGCTTGTGAGATATGCTGCGAGATCCACTCTTCAGGCTTGAAGTGTAAGTTTGTGTGGAGTTCCCTTCGTGGCCGACGAGAAATCTGGGATGCTAGCAACGGTCGGAATATGTGTGGAACACTATTGTGCGTTGAAGCGACAATATCAAGACGTTATTTCAATGCTATTTTTTCTATTTGTGTTTTTCGTTATTCTGATAATGGATTCGTGCACAAGATGGAAGCAAGCTGACAAAGTAATTACAGGTTTGGTTCTGCAGTCCCATGAGAACGTCTAGCTGGCTGCCTCACGCCAGAAGCTAGCTGAAGCTTTTGCGTGTGAATGAACAAGATGGTATGCTGCTGATGGCGGGTTTTTTTACCCATGCGGCAGTATCTTTGCTGTTTGGACTTCATTTCTTTGGCGTGGCAGAAGAGGGAGATGCTGGTGCATGTCATCTTGAATGCCGCAGCGTTTGCTTGCAGAGCAGCTGGCGACTTTTGACCGACGGCCAGAGCAATGCCCGTGCGTGTCTCCGGGAACGGAAAGAGGCTTTCTGCTGGCATGCAAGCTTCAGTAGGAACGCAAGTACATGGACAATGGCTTCGCAGGCGAGCCGGCAAGACTGGGCGGCAACGTCAAAAGACGACTCCTACCGGCAGCGTCCGCATCTAAGAACGTCAAGGCATGCAACACAACCCGTGAGTGACTGCACATGAATGACATGAGGTACAGCCTCGCACGGATGTCTCCTGGCTTCCGCAAGCGGAAAGCCTTTGGAGCACATTCCGCGTGGGACTGCTTGCCTTGCTGCAAGTCTGGCAGGGTCGCTTGGCACTTTGGGCAAAGCTGCTTGATGGCACAACAAGAAGCTGGAACAGGGAAACTGCATTGTTTTGTATTGTAAAATTATCATACATGCGAGGCAACCGCGGTGTCATGCCACAACCAGAGAGCAGCAGCAGTTCTTGCTCGACATGATCCAGGTTTGCGTTGAACAGAACCTAATTATTACGATTAGAAGCAATGCTTTGCCAGTCGAAGTGGACGGAGACCCTGTCTGCCGCGAACTTTACTGCTGCACTGCCCTCGGATTGGTTCGGGCGGCAGCTGCTTGCAATCACGCCGGAGCTTTTCGACGAGGCCAATGTAAAAACAATCTGCAAGGAAATTGTGTTTTCGTGTTCTTCGCAGGTGCTGTCACTGCGAGACAACACCGAGACGCTATTGCATCATAACATTGGCTTAGCCATTGCACGTTTGCAAGGCCGGGGACGCATTGTCACAAATATTTGCCAGTTGTTTTTTACACTGCTTCCAGGCCTCGAGAAGCCCGCTGAGAGGGATTTGAATAGTATCGACCCGCACGAGCGGCTTACTGGCACCGTGGTCAGGGTAGACCCCTTGAAAAACGGTAAGCTCGTGCGGTTAGAGTATTCATTGGGTGGTCCTGTGCGTCTAATCACTGCTTGGGTAAAAAACGACGAGGACCATCGGATTAACTCCCAACGCAAGTTTTGCCTGGAGTGGCGCTGGGACTATAAGGATAGATCCTGGGCTGCGACGGCGAAGTACCTCAGCGAATGTTGAGCTACAGTTCCTTTGGTGATTTTTTCTATGACGTTGTCAATTACGCTCGCGCTCTCCGTGGTGATCAAAAGGGAAAGCGTCGGAATTGATGGTGCTGTGGGAAACCTTTTCAAAGAATAGAAACTCCTTAGAACTGCTGTTTCAAAATTTCTTAAGTACGACAACCAAGAGCACGGGATAGTTACGTACTAGCGTCCGAAGGAAAAGCTATATAAACTTAGGAGATTTTCGATATCTAGCAAATATTTTTGATTAGCAGTGTTTTTTTTGCGCTTGATCTCTGCTTGTTCAAACATTACAACCTCCAAGCCCTCATCCCCAGCTCTCAGTCCTACCCTATCAACTCTTATCCAGCCCCACAGCCCCCGGCTCCAGCCCATCCCCACTACGCCGAACCCTGAGCGTCCCACTGTCCGCAACGGTCTAGAGGACACTGTAAACTGCATACAACTGCTGTTTCAAAATTTCTTAAGTACGACAACCAGGAGCACGGTATAGTGACAGACCAGCGTCCTAAGGAAAAGCTATATAAACTCGTAGAGATCTTTGATATCTAGCACATAGTTTTAATTAGCAGCGTTTTCTTTGTGCTTGCTCTCTGCTTATCAAACATTACAACCTCCTATCCGTCATCCCCAGCTCGCAGTCCTATCCTCTCAACTCTTATCCAGCCCCACAGCCCCTGGCTCCAGCCCATCCCCACTACGCCGAACCCTGAGCGTCCCACTGTCCGCAACGGTCTAGAGGACACTGTAAACTGCATACAACTGCTGTTTCAAAATTTCTTAAGTACGACAACCAGGAGCACGGTATAGTGACAGACCAGCGTCCTAAGGAAAAGCTATATAAACTCGTAGAGATCTTTGATATCTAGCACATAGTTTTAATTAGCAGCGTTTTCTTTGTGCTTGCTCTCTGCTTATCAAACATTACAACCTCCTATCCGTCATCCCCAGCTCGCAGTCCTATCCTCTCAACTCTTATCCAGCCCCACAGCCCCTGGCTCCAGCCCAACCACTCTAGTCCCCACCCTGAACGTCTCACTGTCCGCAACGGTCTAGAGGACACTGTAAACTCCATACAACTGATGTTTCAAAATTTCTTAAGTACAACAACCATGAGCACGGGATGGTCACGAACTAACTGCCTAAAGAAAACTATACACATTCGCCGAGACTTTCAAGATATAGCAGACCTTCTTAATCAATATTTTTTTAACTGTTACTTATTTATACATTACAACCTGCCAGCCCTCATCCCCAACTCCAAGTCCGACTCTTTCAATTTTTACCCAGCCCACAGCCCTCGGCTCCAGCCAAGCTTCTTTACTTTCAACCCTCAGCCCATCACTGCAGAATTTGCGGAGGGACATGTGTGTTCGCTTGTCAGAACATGCGTGCGTGTGCGTCTGTGCATGTGTGTGTGTGTGTGTGTGCGTGTGGGTGGGTGGGTGGGTGTACTGTCAGTGGTGTGACTCCATGGAGCATTTCTAAACTCTTGCTTGGGCGTGCCGCAGATTTTCGTGTATCATATACAAACCATGGAATGTATACATGCACATACACATGCATTCATGCGCACTCCTATGTACATGAATACGTATCAGACACAGAGCAGCAGCCCTTTATTATCTATACAAAAGTTCTCGCATAGTAGTAGTAGTAGTAGTAGTAGTAGTAGTAGTAGTAGTAGTAGTAGCAGTAGTAGTAATATTTGGAATCGCTGGTGGCCTGTTTAATACAGGGCGTCCCTTCTTGCGTTTTCTGGCCTCCAGAATGGTGACATTATTCTCGAGACCTCTTCGGCCCTTCGAATTGTGAAGCCTGCACTTTGCTATTGTCCGACGCTTCGGAACGGCTTCGGACGGGTTTGGGCTGTTTCTGAATAGAGTTGTAACAGTTCCTGAGACTTGCTGAAGCTTCCAGAGCTCCTGTTGGCGCTCACAGGCTCTAGTGCACTTTGCTATTGTCCGACGCTTCGGAACGGCTTCGGACGGGTTTGGGCTGTTTCTGAATAGAGTTGTAACAGTTCCTGAGACCTGCGGAAGCTTCCAGAGCTCGTGTTGGCGCTCACTGACCCGGAGTATGAGCAAGGACGATTGGAAGAGCTCAGATCACGGAGGGAAGCTGTTGCTGGGTCCCCTGGAGTGGGATGTGGCAGCAGTGACCCGGAGTATGAGCAAGGACGATTGGAGGAGCTCAGATCACGGAGGGAAGCTGTTGCTGGGTCCCCTGGAGTGGGATGGGGCAGCAGTGACCCGGAGTATGAGCAAGGACGATTGGAGGAGCTCAGATCACGGAGGGAAGCTGTTGCTGGGTCCCCTGGAGTGGGATGGGGCAGCAGTGACCCGGAGTATGAGCAAGGACGATTGAAAGAGCGGCAAAGTTCAGCGACCAATCTCTGGGAGACTGAAAGCAGCAGTCGAAATATTCATGTTCGGCTTCATAATCAAGCCAATAACTTATCCATTCTCAAGCTGGGCAAAGTTCAGCGACGAATCTCTGGGACATTGGAGAGCAGCAGTCGAAATATCCGTTTCCGGCTTTATAATCGAGCCAATAACTTGTTTCCATTTTGACGCTGGGGTCGTCGTTTCTGAGACTCTCTTTTAACGGGAGAAAGAAAACATGAGAGAGAGGAGGTAGCTGCAGTATGCGTATCAGTATAATTACTTCCTGAGAGAGGAAACTGTACACACAGGAAAGCATTGAATCGGTTAGCTGTGTACGTCTCTGCAAAGCATCGCCACCAAGCTGTGCAGCCTGATTCGGTGAATGCAACTTTGGCGCGCCCGCGTGCCATTTCATGGCTCATTTCTTTCCCTTGAAGCTTCTCTGGGTGGGTGCACGTTCGACACCCAGCAAAGCACGCGAAGAGGCTTTCGAATTAATGCGCAAAGCTGTTCACTTGAGGCGCTGGGCAGACTTCTTGTCTAACGCTCAGACACGAGACTGCGAAAAGACGAGTCTTAAGACAGCTGTTCACTTGAGGCTCTTGGCCAGCGTCTCGTCTGACGCTCAAACACGAGACTGCGAAAAGACGAGTTTTATTGACACCTGAAATTCAGGCCATGGACGTGGCCGTTCAGACGGTCGGAAAGGCAAGTGGCCAAGTAGCCTCACTCGCTGCGAACAATGACAATTCCAGTTGAATTGAGGCTCGGACTGTGCCAAAAGGCACTCTGGCCAAACTCGACAAGGCCGTCGTGATCTCAACCGTCCTAGTTAGTGG